CATACAAGTTTGGGAAAGGTGAATTTAAAGTCCTAGGTTAAATATTTAAAACCTACATCTAAATGTTTACTCATGGAGAGTGAACACTGGATTTGGAATTCTGTTAACAGTCACAAAAGTACGGCCTTCCTTAGCATTAATCCTGTTTGATTGTTGACTAGTGTTTGATAATATGTCTTCTTTGGCCTGCCTTCTACTAAGTTTCCCCAGCCTCTTGTGCCTGTCACTAACTTATCTCTCCACACACATACCTGTCACCTTAGAAGATTCTCCTACACCTCTCCACCACCTAATCACCACTACTCTCTGCTCTTAACTATTTGTAGATTAATTACTGAATTAGTTCTATTGAAGTCAATACTTTCATCAGAGAAAAAGAACAAAACATGAGAGCAAATTAAGGGATGAGGGGAAATGCAAAAGCATAAAATTTCTCTTTACCCTGTTTTGATATCACTAGTAAACCAGAGGAGAAAGCACTCCAGAGGCAAGATAAACCTTGCTGACAAGATCTGGATCAAATGACAGTAGTCACCAGAGCACTAGAAAAGAAAATGTCTTAACTATGTGTCAGAAGCAACCATCTTGCTCTATCCCCCATCCCAATGGCAGATACTGTAATTTGAATTCTCAGAGGTTATATCACTGTACTGTAGCTGTGTACATGTACTAGTAGTGACAGTTCTAATTTCGGTTCTCCAGGATGCTTGTCACAACTTAAGAAATAGATTTGCTACTGATAATGGTGAAGAGTCACTTGCCCTCTGAGCTCCATGGAGAAACAGATGAGGCCAAGGCTCTTCATTTTTTGAGGAGCAAAAGGACCTATGCACCATACTGAAGACATTTGCTTGAGATGATTCAATTGCTTGAGATGATTCAGTTGAAAGAATAGCTTCTTTAAGTATGAAGATGGTTTAAAGAAAAGGTGTAGACAAGGACTGCCCCATGTTTATCTATCTGCTATATCTTAATCACTTATCACTTAATCACTTAATCCCCGTTATTCATCGATTTACTCGAGCGGGTGCCAGTAACGTCTCCATTCATCCCAGTTGCGTGCTAGCGTAGCCCAATGGTATCTGTTCGTTCTAGGAACAGGCAGAGCCTCAAACCTATCATTCAGGGTCTTGACGAAGAAGTCTGACCATCTTGTAGGTGGGCGTCCACGTGATCTTTTGATGTCCCATGGAATCCAATCAGTAATGGCTCTAGTCCAGCAGTTGTCTGTAAACCTCATTACGTTTCCAGCCCATCTGATTTTTGATGTCTTGGCAAATGAGACAGCGTCCCTGATTCTTGAGCGTTGACGAAGATCAGAACTCCGGATTCTATCTCTCATTTGAGTGAATCGTGATATTCCAAGCATAGCTCTTTCGATTCCTCTTTGAGAGACCCGAATAGCGTTCTCATCCTGTTTTCGTAGGGTCCTGGTCTCTGAGGCATATGTTAATGCAGGAAGAACAGTGGAATCAAAGAGATGTGCTCATAGCTGGAGGTTCTTTGTCCTTTTAGTCATTTCGTAAACGCTCTTGAAGGCATTCCAAGCCGCTATCTTCCTTCTGCGCAACTCAGGTGCCAGGTCATTCATCATGTTGATTTCTCGACCTAGGTATATATAACTGTTGCATTCGGAGATGGTGCTTCTGTTGAGAGCGAATGGAGCGTCAGGAACAAGGCTGTTTCTCATAAACATTGTCTTCTTAAGATTCAGCTGTAGTCCGACCTTTCCACATTCACGGTCAAAGTCGTTCAGCATTTGTGCCGCTTGGCTGATGTTTGGTGTTATTAGAACGATGTCATCAGCAAAGCGGAGGTGGTGTAGTTGCCGACCATCTATCTTCACTCCCATGCTTTCCCATTCCAGTCATCGCATGATGTTCTTGAAGGTGGCACTGAAGAGTTTTGGTGAAATAGTATCACCCTGCCGAACCCCTCTCTAGATATGGATAATTACTTCTTTGTAGAATGGTGAGATCTTGGTAGTGAATCCGCAATAGAGCTCATGAAGGATCCTGATGTATTGAGTTTGTACGCCCTGATTGGCTAGGGCTTCCATGACCGCTTTCGTCTCAACAGAATCAAAGGCCTTCTTTAAATCAATGAACGTTAGACAGAGCGGCATCTTGAACTCCCGAGAAACCTCAATGAGCTTAGTAATCGTGTGGATATGGTCGATGGTACTGAATCCTTTTCGGAATCCGGCTTGTTCACATGGTTGTCCTTAATTTAGTGTTTTGCTAATCCTATTCAGGATGACTCGAGTGAACGGTTTGTAGACGACAGACAATAGGCAGATTGGGCAATAGTTGCCAATGTCATGGATGTCTCCCTTCTTGTATAGTAGTACAGTCCTGCTTCTTTTCCATTGGGATGGAACCTTGCATTCAGACAGGTAGCGTGTGAAGAGCCGAGCCAATGTATTGATGAGCACTGATGGTAAGTTCTTCAGGTGTTCAGGTCTGATCTTGTCTGGGCCAGCTGCTCTTTGTTTCTTTACTGACGAGATGGCATGTTGGATTTCGGAAGGGAGCACATTGGGAACGACATATCCATCATGTGGTATGTGGTATGTGGGCAAGTGGACGTGGCTATTAAAGAGATCTGAGTAGAAGTCATGAATAATCTTCTCCATTGCCCTCTGGAAGATGTGATAGATCCATCATGATGTCGGAGGGCATCTTGGTTTTGTAGTTGGTGAAGGACAGGCGGGCATTACCAATGCTTTTCCCGGCTTCTGCCTCATCTACCAGTACTGCTGCTCTCCTGTCTTTGAGGTCATACTTGATGGTTTCTCTGCATTGTTTTGCCAGTTCGGATGTTCGCTTGTGGTTGCTTGAGGAATGTGCCAAGCCACATTGCCGAATAAATTCAAGAGTGTTCGAAGAAAGACGGTTTTTTGTGGTTATCTCTCTCTTGGCATTCCTCGCACAATCATGGAGGTGCTGAATCATTCGATCGTATTCCTCATCAATGTTGTCAATGACGGCATCTTCCCATGTTCCGCAAAAGAGCCCACTTGGTGGTCGTTCTGGGAGTCCTCTTCTTAAACCTTGCATTCTTTTCTCCTCGTTCTGTGAGGTAGAATTTTGCACGAAGAAGACGGTAGTCTGATCCCATTTGGAATTTTGGGACAACAGCAACATCGGTTAGGCAAAACTGCCAATTGAATATGATGTGATCTATTTCATTGTGGAACTGTCCATCAGGAGACTCCCATGTCCAACGTTTAGATTCAGCCTTTTGGAACTGTGAGTTACAATGGAAGGTTTTGGTTGACATGATGAACTCAGAGAGTCTGTCACCCTGTTCGTTCCATTCTAGGCCATGGGTCCCGATGTGGAGTTCATCAACTGATCTTCTTGGTCCTATCTTGGCATTAAAATCACCGACAATGATCTTGTAGAAGGTGTGATCTTCTTTATAGAACTTCTCCAGCTCCATGTAGAACTTCTCAGTTTCTCTTTCACCATAGCTGGATGTTGGTGCATAGACAACAAAGATAGAAACTGCCAGTAGTGAGCCACATCTATTCAAGTGTAATCGTCCGATTCGGGTTGTTAGGCATTCGAATGAATCAATGCTCGTGGCTAAGTTTGTGTTGACAAGGATACGGACACCACTGACGCCTCTTTTATCACATGTTCCAAGGAACAGTTCTTCTCCAGTGTCGAAAATGGCATGATGTGATTGATGTCTTCTCGTTTCGGTCAGACCAATGATGTCGTACTTGATCTTTCATGCTTGTACCATAAGGTCTTCAATGGATGCAGCAGATGCCAGCGTATGAGCATTAAAAGTACAATCATTTTTGTTTTTCTTCGTTTTGGCAGCCTATTTCTGCTGACATAATACATTTTTCAGATTTAGTAATAGGTGCCAACTATGTTAATTTCATATAACAGTGTATAGTATATATCACCATGTTACCAACAGTCCGTACATTCTTTCATATGTTCTCACAATATATTTTCTAAATTTATTAATCTAGATGGTTTGAAAATGAGTAAAAATATGTTCTTCTTTCATCTTGGTTTTAGATTGTTTGCTTTGTTTTTTCCTCATCCTGGATATCTTCCTAAAGACTACATGAGAAGCAGGGCCTTACCTTGCTTGCAAGTGTGGGCAGATGTTTCCATTTTCTTAATTCTGTTTATCTTTCTTAGTAAAGTATAGCTGGTGACATAGGAGACCAGCTCTTTGGGGCTAACCTGGGTTCCTGCATAAGTTCTACCAAACTTAAGCATGTGCCTTCGTTAACTAAGAAAAGTTAATGGCAAGAGTTTTTTTCCCCTTATTAAAAAAAAAACTCACATACTGCATAATACATGTTCAGTAACACAGATACACACAATGTTTTGTCTTTTATGTCATCTGGTTGGTGTGTCCAGTGAAGATGGAGATATGCCATCTTAGTTGAGATAAAGTTCGCAACCACTGGATGTGCTAATAATCTTACTCCTAGGAGAATATCTAAAAGATGATCCTTCTAAATATTATGGTAGATTATTTCAATTTGATTGGATTATTTTATTGTGTTTGTTTCTCTTATGATATCACCTCAAATCCTTTTCAAAAATATGTATAAGAAATAAGAAATGATGAAGTATCTTATGTATGAATGGATGAAATTTTTTTCACCATTTGGTATTTAAATAGATTTAGAAAACATGGTCATGAAAATTAAAAGAACACATTACATGTATTATAATAAAAGAAACAATGCATTCAATCTTAAGAACTATATCATGAACAATATTTTTACCTCCTTTGTCAAGAAATTTAGGCTGAACGGGTGACTTTAAACATATCTGGATCAAACTCAACTAGAAGAGACATCTAGCGTGTTCACATTCTAAGTTTGATCCCAGATATCACGTAGCCCTTCAGTACTTACAGGTGTATTCCCAGTCCCCCTACCTTTTCCTCACTGCCAGATCTGGCGACTATTTAAAAAAATAAATACGTGACATAATTTTTCATTTCAAATTTTTGAACAGAAAGAACGAGAGCGAGGTTCTAACTTGGCCTTTATGTTCCGACTGCCTTTTGCTGCTGGGAGGGTGTTTAGTATCAGCATGTTGGACACGCTTCTCTATCAGGTATGGTCTTTTATGTTTTATCTCTTAAAAATCAATATTGCATTTAGATTTTATAGGTTTCATCAAGCACCAACTGTTTCTCATGTGGCTTGTAACTAAAGTTTACTCTTAAAGCAACTCAGTATTTTAATTCACATAGTTAACCACAAAAATGTGTCTGTGAAATGTTTGTTAGAGAAAGACTGTAATTATCCAGAATAATTCATGAAATTGTTTTTTGGCATTCCTTGGGACCAGTGTCCTCCAATGTTTATGTGATATCTTAACACATCTTTCATATTTCTCTAAGCACATTACTAGATTTAAAAGTAAGCTAACTGGGGGAGGGGGTTGATGCTGAGTTTCAAAACAACAAGAACAAGAACAACAACAACAACAACAGAAAAAACATTAGCACTGTACAATACGGTTTTTCCCCAGATTTAAAGATACATTTATGCTAGTCAACTTATAAAAAAAAAGGCATTTTAAGCACTGCTAATTATTCGCTAATTTTAAAGTATTTTTTGGGGGGGGAGGGTATGGTGCTGCCAGCAGGTCATTCTGTGAGGTGAGTGCATCAGCAGCCTGATGGTGCCTTCAGACTTCTAGATACCCCAAAATTGCTGCTGTGCCTTTGGCCAGACCCCATCAACTTGGGACCAAGTCTACCAAGAAAGTAAATGGCTAAAAGTTAGGTAGAGGCCAAAAGTTAGTTAGACCAAAAATTGAGACACACCCACAAACCACCTCTAGCTCAGTTATATAAGGAACAAGGTCTCTCTTGTTCCTGATCAAACTGCTTAAACGGCCATGATCCCAGAGACTCAGAAACAAATCTTGGAACCCAGCAGAAATGGGCAGAAATGCATCTGGTCCCCGCAATACTTTACCAGAGCAGGGCCACCCCAGGAGAGAAAGGTGATGTCCCTTCACCTGCTCTCCCCCTCCCCGGCACCTCAGTGGCCGCAATCCTCCAGAGGCCATTGAACAGTCAGATTTGGGCCTGCAGTGACAAGACACATAGTGCTTCATGGGATGGAGATGGAATGGGCCCTTTTCTCCCTCCTTCAATGAGATCCTCAGTCTCCACCCACAAACAGCCTCTCTGTCTCCTGATCAAGTTGCTTAATGACCATGATCCCAGAGACTCAGGAACAAATCATGGAACCCAGGAGGTTTTGGCAGAAACTCCTCCAGATATAATTGTTAAAATTTCATAATTCCAAAATTGTGCAGCCACTACTGTGACTGTGCAATATCATATGTTATTCATTATCAGCAACAGAAAACAAATTGTCTATGGTTGCCTTTTCGGCAGATCTGAGTGTTGGGGTAAAATCCTAAATAATAATGATGGGTCTGGTGTCAAAATACTGGAGTGTGATCAAAGTAGAGAGAGTATTATGTGGAAGTCTTCTGCCCCACAGGTAGGGGGAGGATGTGGGATGAGGGGGGCATACTGGGGTTTTTGGTGGTGGAAAATATGCACCGGTGAAGGGATGGGTGTTTCATCATTGTATGACTGAGACTTAAAACCAAAAGCTTTGTAACGGCTCTCACGGTGATTCAATAAATAAATTTATTAAAAGGGAAAAAAAAGTGAGGTAGAGTTCATGCCCAATTCAATCAGCCTGATCAATGACTGAATAAATAGCAATATTCCTACATTAGCAGTGTCCACTCTACTGTCCACCCATTGTTCATCGATTTGCTCGAGTGGGCACTAGTAACGTCTCACAACAAATTGTGAGACTTGTTTTTACTGTTTTTGGCATATCAAGTATGTAACGGGTAGCTTGCCAGGCTTTGCCATGCAGAGAGATACTCTCAGTAGCTTGCTGTGTTCTTGGAGAGAAATCGAACCCAAGTCGGCCAGGTACAAGGCAAAAGCCCTACCCACTGTTGTATTGTTTCAGCCCACTCCTACATTCACTTGATCTCTTGATCACTTGACATCCCGTTACTCATGTATTTGCTCGAGCAGGCACCAGTAATGTCTTGATTCGTACCTGTTGTGTGCTAGTGTAGCCCAATGGCATCTGCTTATTCTAGGAACACGAAGAGCCTCAAACTGATCATTCAGAGTCTTGACCAAGAAGTCTGACCATCTCGTTGGTGGGCGGCCACGTGATCTTTTGACATCCTATGGAATCCAGTCAGTAATGCTCTAGTCCAGCGATCATCTCTAAATATCATTATGTGTCCAGCCCATCTGATTGTCAACATCTTGACAAACGAGACGGCATTCCTGATTCTTGACCATCGACAAAGGTTAAATCTGGATTCTTTCTCTCATTTGAGTGAAGCATGATACTCCAAGCATAGCTCCTTCGATTCCTCTTTGGAAGACCCAAATAGTGTTCTCATCCTGTTTTCATAGGTCCATGTCTTTGAGGCATATGTTAATACAGGAAGAACAGTGGAATTGAAGAGATGTGACCAAAGCTGGAGGTTCTTCATCCTCTTAGCTATTTCTTCAAGGCTCTTGAAGGGATTCCAAACTGCTCTCTTCCTCCTGCACAACTCAGGTGCCAGGTCATTTGTCATGTTGACTTCTCGACCTAGGTACACATAACTGTTACATTTGGAGATGTTCGTTCCGATGAGAGCAAATGGAATGTCTGGGATAAGACAGCTTCTCATAAACATTGTTTTCGTGATATTCAGCTGTAGTCTGACCTTCCTACATTCACAGTCAGTCGGCCAACATTTGTGCTGCTTGGCTAATGTTTGGTGTTATTAGAATGATGTCATCAGCGAAGTAGAGGTGGTGTAGTTTCTGACCATCTATCTTCACTCCCATTCCTTTGCATTCCAGTCATCGCATGATATTCTCGAGGGTGACACTGAGAGTTTCGGTGAAATGGTATTACCCCGCCAAACCCCTCTCTTGACCTGGATGATCACTTCCTTGTAGAATGGTGAGATCCTGGTAGTGAATCCATAATACAACTCACGGAGGATCCTAGTGTATTGAGTTTGAACACCCTGCTTAGCTAGGGCTTCGATGACTGCTTCAGTCTCAACAGAATCAAAGGCCTTCTTTAAATCAATGAACGTTAGATAGAGCAGCATCTTGAACTCCCGAGAAATCTCAATGAACCTGGTTATGGCTGTGAATGTCTCCCTTCTTGTACAGTAGTATAGTCCTGCTGGTTTTCAATTGGGACGGAACCTTGCATTCAGACAGGTAGCGAGTGAAGAGCCGAGCCAGTGCATTGATGAGTATTGACAGCAGGTTCTTCAGGTGTTCGGGTCTGACCTTGTCTGGGCCAGGTGCTGTTCACTTCTTTACCGACAAAATAGCATGTTGGATTTGAGAATGGAGAATGCTGGGAACAACATATCCATCCTGCGGAATTTGGTATGTGAGCATGTGGACGTGGGTATTTTAGAGATACGAGTAGAAGTCATGAATAATCTTCTCCATTGCTCTTCTGGAAGATGTGATAGATCCATCAGGACATCGCAGGACAATTATCTTGATTCTTGTAGTTGGTGAAATGCAGGCAGGCGTTGCGAATGCTTTTCTCGGCTTCTGCCACCTCTGCCAGCATTGCTGCTCTTCTGTCTTTGAGGTCTTCCTTTATCACTCCCCTGCCCTGCTTTGTGAGCTCAGACTCGACTCCTACATTAACATAATGAAAAAAAAGCATTTTTAAAATTATGAATATGGACATTTAGTTTGTTTGTGGGTGGTTAAATGACAGTCGTTCTCTCAGAACTCATAAGTTCATGGACATTTTGTTTTAAAATAAGACATTTCAATCTTTTTCAAGCTCTGCCAGAAACAGGATAACAGTAATGCTTTTATATTCTCAGATTCAAGTGATTGCACAATTTATAAGTATTTCATTTGACTTGGGCTCGAGCGATAGCATAGCGGGTAGGGCATTTGCCTTACAGCCAACATGGCCGACCCGAGTTTGGTTCCTCCACCCCTCTTGGAGAGCCCGGCAAGCTACCGAGAGTATCTCGCCCGCACGGCAGAGCCTGGCAAGATACCTGTGACATATTCTATATGCCAAACACAGTAACAACAAGTCTCACGAAGGAGACATTACTGGGTCCGCTCGAGCAAATCAGTGAACAACGGGAGGACTGTGACTGTGTGACTGTGATCTATTTGACTAGAAAATATACTCAGAGAGCTCTAAAGTGTTTAGGAATGTTGATCTCAAATTAAGCATTTGAGTATTTTGTTGTGCTTTTTCCCCCTCTTTTACATTATGCATTTTATGTACCCTCTTCTGCTGTGCTTGACTATTTCAACCTAATTCAAGCAGAGTTAAAGCTTTCCTACTGGCCTTTGGGCTAATTATGCCCATGAGTTTGCTTCTAGCAATGTCAGGAACCATCTGCTTATACCAGATGAGTGTAGGAACAAACACAGCAAAAGAGAATAAACACTGCTGTTGCTCTGAAAGGTTCCAGACACATTATCTGGGTGTTCCAGGAGGCAGAGTTCCACCCAAGGAACGTGACCACATGTACAACCTTATGATCGCTTAAGAAGACCTGGAGGAGGAGACTTGTTTGAAGAGCTATGGTGAAGCTGAACACATTTGACTCAGTAGCATTTGATGTCAGTATGCCAACCAGTGATTTTCAAAGTTCTCAACTATTTTCGTAGTGTAGTCATTATATCTATGCTTATATAAAAATCTCATAAAAATGTCTCTATTATATAAGCAAAAATGGAAAGAAAAAGTATTTTATAGGAGTGTGAAGCTAAAGCATTTCCCCACCACCACCACCACCCATCTTTCTATTTCTGACCCATGCTTTTCTGCTAGATATTTTCCAGGTTATTTTCTGAAGCTACTGTTGTGATAGTGAGCGAGAACAACAATTTTCAAAGCTGTACCTCCCAATATACTTTCTCTCACATCAACTAGGCTGCTTTACTCTTCTGCTTTACTAAGTCCATTTATGGGGTTAAATAGTTAAAATGTAAAACAGACCTAATTTCTAATTGTCATGACATAATAAGCTTTCTTGAAATATACTAAATTTCA